GTGTTACAAGTGTGTCCATACTCTCTTAGAAAGCATGTTTAGGGTACACAGTAATGTCTGTCTGCCATTTTAGCACTACTACTAATAGTAGTAGTAGTAGCAGCAGCAGCAGCAGCAGCAGCAGCAGCAGTATACCACCCTCCATCCGCAGATCACAGAGTGGTTCAAAACATAAAAATGCAACATGAGAACACAAACAAAACACAAAACAAAACAAAACCAATAACCCCCTTCCACAAACACCTTTAAAAGGCCATAGACTCAACCAAAGGTCTGGTTACAGAAAAATGTCTGTTTTATTAGAATACAGAACACCCACATTGGCTGCCATATTGAATTTGGATAAATTAACCCCACTATTAATCACCTAGGCCCTCCAGATGCTGCACAGACCCCTTCATGCCCCCCAGACCACCCCTCCAGGTATCACTTCTTGTTCCACATTTTATGTGAGACAAAGGTGGAGGGTTGGTGTAACTGCTACAGAGTTGGGAGGGGGCTTGTAGTGATCTACAGTGAGAGGAATCTAGAGAGAGGGGAAGGGCAGGGAAGTGGGGTAGACTTCTTTAAACTCTGGCCCCACTAGCATATGGTGCCTGCCATATTATCCCCAAGGGAATGCAGCCCTCAGTAGAAAATAGAAATAATAGAAAATAGAAATAATAAACCCTATAGAAATAATAATATATAATACCTGTGTGCATGAGGAATATTCTGTAGAGTTTATCACATACTCCTTCCTTCTATCCGGCAACAGTTTTTAAGGAATGTTTTGTGTGAAATTTAAGCCCATCATCCTATTCAAGATCCGCCACCCACAGTCACAATAATCCTTTGTGATGGAAAGCTTTAGATTAATAGACAAGACTTTGCTTTCTGCTGCTAGCCACTGCTAAATGGTGTTGTACCAGGGTAACATGAAAGAAAGAGAGATATTCCAACTGGTAAGCTTCAGCTGTGAATTCCAGAAATAGGTTCCCTAAAAGGCTGGCTCTGTAAATGTAATGGCAGGTGGCTTGCTCAGCGGATGACTAGCCCTTACTTGCAACCGATGGTGCTACTCAGGGCCAGTTATAGATATACAACACTTGGAGAGTTGTTAAAAAATGAGGAGTTGGGGTCTAGTCTGGGGAGGAGTCCAAGGAAGGAGAAGCTCATACCCAATTAAGGTAGGGAACCAAACAAAGTCAAGGACTTCCAAGAACCATGCGAGTCTATAACTCTGTAATCACAGTGCAGGGGATAGTCAGACCCACCCAAATAACATCTGGGACATTAGTGTATTTTGTGATAATGTCACAAATCCACAAATAATGGAAGCTGGCTTCCAGAGCACCATTCAAGTACAACTATCAGATTATTGAGAATCCCAGCTGTCATTTCTAAACAGCAAATATCTAGCTCTCATTACAAAGACAAGCATAAAGCCTTGAAGGCAGCATTTACCTCTGAGGGGTCTGGGTGCATCCCCCCTCCAACAGATACACAGTGCTATTAGCACACGTGTGTGTGTGTGTGTGTGTGTGTGTGTGTGAGAGAGAGAGAGAGAGAGAGAGAGATACCTGCATAGATAAAGTAATTAAGCAATATGTTTTGTCAATTTGCACCATTCAATCTTCCTCACTGGAGGATTATTGTCACTTTAATCTCACAGTATTCCAGTGTCACTGCCTGACGCTAAAATCCTTCTGCTGAAACATTTAAAAAACCCACCCAAAATAACAAAAGAACTCCATACACACAAGCTTAACAAAACACCTAACAATTCATCAGACAGCTTCTTTGTGAGGAAAAAAATGTGTGGAATGTTTCTTAAAGGGCAGGTGGAATCGATCCAAGTAGTTCTATAGCGTAAATTATCCTAAATCCCTCCCTTCTTCAAGGAATGTGTTATGTGCAAGCTTTTAAATGCTTCAGGGATATAATGTCAGTTCCACTCCATGCTGTAGCTGACAGCCTCCTTGCTGCTCTTCTGAATAAGGAGAATTTGAGAAAGTAAATACTTGCTGTGTTTGCACCTACAGATTCCTGTGACTGTGAAGGCAAGCACTTTCTTGCAAGCAGCAGTTGTGCCAAGATGTGTCAGAAGGTACAGCGCACAAGCACTTTCTTCATTTTTTCTACACAATAGCTGTGCTGAGATGCTCAAAGTTTTCAGTACCAAGAGGATAACCAGGGCCAGCCAGCCCTATCATATGGCAGGGTGAAGACTCCCACCTCAGGCAACACCATGAGGGGGTAGAATATGAAGGCAGGAACTGGTGTCTAAATGTTGCCACAACACTTTTTAAAGCACTGCCTGCACTGGGCAGGGTCTGCTCTTTGGGATCTACTTCAGTCTGCAAATTGTCTTGAGCCAGGACTGAGCAATAGCAGGAGGGACACTATAGATTTTGCTATTTAGAACAGATTCATTTTTAGCAGATTCACTTTCATAAATGGATACACTCTTTGTTCTTACTCTGTTTCGCTCAATATGACAATTCCCGCCTACTAAACATACCAGCTTGATCCAAATACATTTATTTTGGAGCAAATGGAACTGCAACCCCAACATTATGGAAAGTTCCACAAAGAACCCTAAACAGTAGCATCAGTAGCACTAAGTTTCCATGCAGCTTTGCCATTTCCTGATATTTTGAGAAAACATGAGCAGATAAAAAGCAGGTATTTTAATACATCTTAAAATTATTTACTATTATTAAGAATGAAAATGTAATATTAATACATCCTCATTATTAATATAGTGACACTGACATACATGACACTTTACAGTGTAACGTATTTTTTTAAAGCCGTGCCTCTGCAAAGTCTGAAAAGTTTGCTTTCAAATTTTGGCATTTGGACAAGAATGAAACAAAGGGGAGAAAAGGTTGACAATAAAAAGGAGAGGCTTATGAGCAGTGGTAGGAGGTAATGAAATATAGAAATAACTCTTCTTCCATTTTAAATCTATAGCATTAAAAGATGGGGTTACCCTTGGCTCAAAAAGGGAAAACAATACTAAAACACTGAAATTTATTTATCTGTTTATAGCCTTTTCTGTCCTTTTATTCAGTGGCCTGAAAGAACCTATACAGATCTTTCCTGTGGAACATCAGTTATTTGATTGCTTGTTATTTTCCCCAGTGAACCAAATGAAGCCCATTCTTGGAACTAGTCAGTGAATTTTCAAGCATGGCCCAGGCAGGGGATTCCCATTACTGAGCTCTCCAGAGACATGCCTCTGACTTTCTGCCCCAGTGATTTCATCCAAACAGGAAGGCCAGCCTGCCTGTCCCTCTGCAGGAGGTAGTCAAATCTTGCATTCCTCTCAGGGGGAAATGTTGCTGGGAGGAGCAGGCTGTTCTCTCCAGAGCTAGTCGCCCTGGTGTCCCGGCTGTCTCCTCATCAAACTCCACTCTAAGGAGCCGATAAACCACCAAAGAACCCTCTGGGTTCTCTTAAGGTGGCACTGCCACCTATTGACCGAAGAAAGTAATATTTTAAGCCCTGAAATTAAGAGGACAGTGGTACCTCGGGTTAAGTACTTGATTCGTTCCGGAGGTCCGTTCTTAACCTGAAACTGTTCTTAACCTTAAGCACCACTTTAGCTAATGGGGCCTCCTGCTGCCGCCACGCCGCCGGAGCACGATTTCTGTTCTCATCCTGAAGCAAAGTTCTTAACCCAAGGTACTATTTCTGGGTTAGCGGAGTCTGTAACCTGAAGCATATGTAACCTGAAGCGTATGTAACCTGAGGTACCACTGTATATACTGTATCTGTAAACTATCACAGAGAGGCATATGCTCTCCTAGTTAATAGCACTTCTCAAGAAACAGCTTCCTCATGGATATCAGTTCTAAGTAAAGGTAAAGGGACCCCTGACCATTAGGTCCAGTCGTGGCTGACTCTGGGGTTGCGGTGCTCATCTTGCTTTATTGGCCGAGGGAGTCGGCATACAGCTTCTGGGTCATGTGGCCAGCATGACTAAGCCGCTTCTGGCGAACCAGAGCAGCACACGGAAACGCCGTTTACCTTCCTGCCAGAGCGGTACCTATTTATCTACTTGCACTTTGACGTGCTTTCCAACTGCTAGGTTGGCAGCAGCAGGGACCGAGAAATGGGAGCTCACCCTATCATGGGGATTCGACCTTCTGACCAGCAAGTCCTAGGCTCTGTGGTTTAACCCACAGCACCACCCGCGTCCCATCAGTTCTAAGTAGAGATGGTTAAATCAGTCTTATGTGAAGCACCCCTCAAGTTGCTGGAGGCAAGGCTTCTGAGTCATCCTCTTCAATGGTGGGTGAGAGCTGTGTATTTAACAGCCTCCTCCCCTCATAGTCTTGGCTCCCCCAATAACCTCTCAACAAAGCATCTTTTGGGACTCCTGGTCCTGCAAACTGTCCCCTGACCCTCAATGACAACTCTTCTGGGCAGCTGTGAATGCTCACCTCGCAAATCCAGAGGGGTATGAAGGACCGGGGGGGGGGGGAGATGTCCCATGCCTTGAAGACCCAGGAGCTCAGTGAATCACACAGCCTGTGACCCAGACAAAATTCAGATTTAACCCAGTACAAAATGGAACAGGTGTTTAAATATTCCTGTGTATGTTAAAGATAAAGGTACCCCTGCCCGTACAGGCCAGTCTTGACAGACTCTGGGGTTGTGCGCCCATCTCACTCAAGAGGCCGGGGGCCAGCGCTGTCCGCAGACACTTCCGGGTCACGTGGCCAGCGTGACAAAGCTGCATCTGGCGAGCCAGCGCAGCACACAGAACGCCGTTTACCTTCCCGCTGGTAAGCGGTCCCTATTTATCTACTTGCACCCGGGGGTGCTTTCGAACTGCTAGGTTGGCAGGCGCTGGGACCGAGCAGCGGGAGCACACCCCGCCGCGGGGATTCGAACCGCCGACCTTTCGATCGGCAAGCCCCAGGCGCTGAGGCTTTTACCCACAGCGCCACCCGCGTCCCATCCTGTGTATGTTAGCGAGTCACAAAACAGTTTGATTCTGAAGTACACATAGTTCAAGAAATTCTTGTTCAATCTACATGGACGACCTAAACTCAACTTCCACGTTAAATGGACATGGCTGAAAGGGTACGGAGATTGTGTGCTTGAATATCAAACAAATTCTCATATGCATGTGGTGGGGAAAACATGTTGTGAAGGCAAGTACTAGAAAAAAGCGGAAAAATTGTAAGAGGGCATCCTTCAGCCAAGCATCCTGGGTACCATAAACAACAAGATAGGGATCAACATTTGTTCACAGTTCTGAGCCATTACATGGACACCTAAGATCCTTGGCAAATCCTTGTTTAACTTGACCTGTCAACAAAGTGCTACTGAATGGAGCTGGGCTACTGTCCAGTACCAACATCTCTTTTGACTGCCTACTGCTGTGTTCTGTCTTCAACACATTCACAAATACCTGCACCGAGTTCCCAGTGTGTCTGTTTATTCAAGGTCTATTCATAAATAAGTCTGGCAGCAGCTGTTAGCAGAAGTGGCTAGGCAATTCGTTCCCCGACCACTAACGATGAAATGCAATTGCACCAGGAGCAGGAGAACAAGCCAATTTCTGTGTGCCGAACAAGAGTGGACAGACTTGCGTTTTGAAAATACTCCAGTGACTTAGGAAAGGGATTAGCACCACCTGCATCCAAGTCCCTTGGCAAACATAGAAAAGGGGAGCAGAGTTTGGTAGCCAAGGTCAGCGTCTGCCCACCACATGAGTCCGCCTGCGGTATGCCCCTGGCACCAGCAATTCCAGAGTTAATTCGGTGAAGATGGCTGTGAGACCCCATACACGGTGAGGACCGTGCAGGAAGACAGGAAGTGTGTGGCTGTAGGTACCCTTGTGGCAGAAGTTAGTGTAGCCCTGGTTCTCTTCTTGCAGCAAGTGGCGAAAAGACAGTGTGAAAACGGCCTCAACCTGCAAATCAGAGGGAAAATAGGTGAGGAGGGGCAGCACAGATCTCCCAGATTAGCTACAGAGCCAATGGTTCCTTTTCCAACTCCCAGCTGCCCAGGAAATCACCACAATCCACTCCGTCATTCCCAGCAAGCCTTCCATCCAGACACTTTGGGCCTAGCAAGACGTGACAGCAGGGGCAGCTAACAGGCCATATGCAGCCTGTTTTCTGTGTCCCTCAAAGCTGCCCCCCTCTTAAAATTGCAGCTCCTTTTTTCTAATTTATTATTTTTGTAATTATTATTTTTGTAATATTGCCAATGTATTATTTTTATGAGGTTTACCCACACCTGTTGTCCAGCTATCCTGTTACCAGTTTCACATTATCCAGTGTTGTTTCTAGGAAGAAGTCCCCACAAATCAGCTTGCTTTACAAGTAAAATGGCTATGCTAATAAAAAATGCTGTGTGTTTATTTCTGGATTCACTACTCTGCTGCTTCAGGAGCGGTCAGGTTTCCCTGCTACTGCCACTACCACATGCTACTGTTATGCTTCGGTTGATGAGAAAAGCTATGATCTTTCACGGTTTCTTTCAGGAGCAGCCAAAGGCATTGAAACTGTTGGAGCAGCAGAGGAGCGAGTCGGGAAATGATGGTGGCTGTGGGAACAGCAGCTTTCATGGCTGAGAGCAAGTGGTAGTAAGGAGAGGGAATTAACAAGAAATAACATACCTGTGAGCATCCCAAGCTGTTTAAATTGCTGCAACTTGGATAGTAAAGTACCAGAGGGACTCATGAGTAGAGGGAGAAAGTGGGGTGGTAGTTGATATGAGAAAGAAATGGAAGAATAGATAGACAGACAGACATATATATATATATGCAGTGTGTATGTGTGTGTGTGTAATTTAAACGAGGACAGGGATGAAAGGCACTTATCCGCCAAAGGCAATGGAATTAATTTTGGGGGAAAGAGGGTGAAATTTTATTACAAGATCATAAATTAGTTATTAACCATGGAAGACAATGGAAGTAATGCGGGGTAGATGTGAGTGTGGGTTTTTACTGTTTCTTAATGAATTAGGGGGGAAATGAAGTCGCAGGTTCTTAATTACAGGGTAAGGATTCTGGGATTTTGTCAATGCCCATTTTCCTGCTTACGTCACGCCCACTTTGCTTTGTGGCCCCTGAGGACATTTTCAACCCCTAAAAGGGCGAGCCGCCCCTTCTGCGCTTCCCCAAGCATCTCCCTGGCAACACAGCCAGTAAAAAGAACATGCCAGGAGGTGTCCTTGTGCTGCTTTTGCTCTTTCATTCACCTCTTGGGGATTAGGCTTCAGAGTCAGGCGCTCCAGAGGACCCAAGTTGGCTAGCACAGGCATAACCATCATTTTTGTCTGAAAGGAAACCAGAGTTTAAAACCAATGAATTCCAGGCATCCCCGTTGCTTTTTTGCTGCAAGGCATGCTCCAAAGTGATAAATACTCATGCAAGCCAGATGCCTTCCCTTGCCAAACACCTTTCTGCCCCTCAGGTGAACATCCTGGCCCACAGCAATACTCAAGAAAGTCCTTCATCGCTCTCATCTAACACATCACTCCATGATCATCGCTTCTCCAGGTAACACGCCCCCTCCCCCCCAATTCTGAACATTAGTCCCAGCTCCTTAACAAAAAAACCTTCCAGTGGAGATTCTAGAACCCCCAAATAGAGACATTACCTTATCAGGTATAGGCATCATGATTCCCCAGACGCAGTCCTCCTCTACCCGCAGGCCCAACTCTTCCTGAGTCTCCCTGAGTGCTGTGGCAATGGGATCCCGGTCACAGCTGTCGCGCTTACCACCTGGGAAACTGCAAGAGCAAAACAGAATCCTTTAATAAAGGGAAATTCAGGACCAGAACCAAGGTTGTGCCAGCAGCCTTGAGGGGAAAGAGCTACGCTGTGGCAACTGCCAGGACCTCAGGAGGGTTCTGAGGGCCAGGAAAGAGCAAACGAAAAGGATGATGGGAATTTTACTTTAAAAAGAGAGAGTATGGGGCTACCAAATACCTGACAGATCCTTTGTGCACACCAGTCAAGGTGCTGGACCTCAGCGTGTACAGGATGGCTGGGTCCCCAGCCACAGAGCACAGGGACACCAAAACAGCTGCTGGTGCAGCTTCTTGTCTGTATCGGTTGGTAGACGCCTCAAGCTGCCCTCGGCAACGCTGCTCGTTTTCCCAGGATAAGTATCTACGAACTGGGCCCATGCTGGCTATGGGCGCAGGAGGCCTGCCGTGGCAGAAGTGGCGAAGTGTTGGAAGCATAATGCCCTGCAGGGAGGAAAGAGGAAGGAGCTGACTTGGAAACAAGCAGCCGGCACTGAAGAAGGAAGGGGACCTTCCTGCCTCAATCCTGAACTTCACAGCGCCCAGGGAGGTTGGTTATTTTATATTCACATGGGTCCTCCCACACCATCAACTCGCCCCATCCTACTTTGTTCAGTAATTTACCGTTAGGCTGTGATCCACAAGGGTCTGCTAAAGTACAAGGGGAAAGGGCGGGGGGGGGGTGGAGGGAAATTAGTAAAATGTATTACTCAGAAAACAAGCACTGTCCTTAGAAGTGGAAGTCATGTGTTTTCCTGTCAAATCTGTGCCAAGGCCAACTGCAATCATTTCAAAATCCAAGGTTGCAAAACAATAACAAAAAACCACAATCTCTCCCACTTCAGCACAGATTTTTTTATAGGGTTTTCAAGCAGCTACCCACAAATATAAGTAATACCGCAGCACCACCCTGGACGGCCACATATATTCACCTAATGATTAGGCTAGCCTTGCCTTAGGCAGCATTGACTGTGCCCAAAATCATTCAGATCTAGCAAAAATGGTTACTGCAGATGATCTGTTATGACAAAAGATCTGTAGTCAAGGAGTCAAGAACAGGACAGAAATTTCTCTGAAGTGAAATGTCTCTGAATGAGGGATTCAATAGGGAGCATTCTTGCAAAAAATGAAATAAAAATATATTTCCTGAGGTAGAACTAGATATTAGCACTGAATCTTTTTCACTCTGGAAAAAAAACCTCTCCCATGTGCTAGAATTGAAACCAAGTGGCATATTCATGAGGTTTGCCTAGGTCTCCTATACTTTTAACAAGTGCATGGCATGCAGAAATTTAGCAGGGTAAACTGCAGCTTTCAATAAGTCCTTCTCATCGTGTCCAGGACAAGGTGGCAACTATGCCAAGCTGCTGTTTGAAATACTTTAGCACCAGGCACCCTTTCTTTTTAGAAACTCCTGATCCACTTGCAATTTGAAGACACCCCTGAAATGCCAGCTGCTCAAATGTGGGGTGAAGGACTGGAACCAGAAGTCAGCACAACTGGGCAGCTGTCAAGGCCCAGCATACACCAGGACAGCTTTTGCCAACCTTGTGCCCTTAGAATATTGTTGGACTACAACTCCCATCAGCCACAGCCAGCACATTTTTGGATCACAACCCTCATAGTGGGAACTGTAGTCCAACATTTGGAGGGCATCAGAATGGACAAGGCTGACTCTGGAGGTCCTACTAATGGTAACCAGCTGTTGCTCAGGTTTAGCACACTCCGCATGTTGCACAGAAACATCTCCTCCTACCCAGGTGCTGCTCACTTGCCTGTGAATGTGGAAAGGTGAGTGGCAGCTGAAAGGAACAGTCACTGCTGTTTCCCATTAGTCACCTGGCTTCTCCCTCTGGGAAGTATGGCAATAGGGAATGGGTCTGCAGTGCTGCATGGGCAAACAAAATGAGAAGGCTCCTTTCTCTACCCTGTCACCTTTGCTATCTAGGTGGCCCCACTGGGGCTTGCCAACACTGCCATGCAAGGGGGTGAAAGGCAAGAGCCCGTACTCTCCCTCTCTCCCCAAGAGGCAATATGGGCAAGACTGGGCACTACAGCACAGCCTAGAGAAGCGCGGACATCTCTCTCTGCCAACTCACTCACCCTCTTTCTCAGGCAATGCAGCAGGACCCCACAGCATATGGTAGGAGCAACACCCAGCGAGCAAGTAGAAGTGGGCAGGGCAGCTGCAGGCAACTCATCCTCTGTGTTAAGCAAGCAGGTAGGGCCTCCCAGAGGGAAACACAAATACAGTAGGTGGTGACAGCAGCCTTGCACTGGAGGGGGGCAATTGTATGGAAGCAGCCTTACTCAGCTGCTGATCTGAGGTGTCAAATGGCAGCAAGATAGTAGTTACTTGATTTAGTATTGCATTTTTACTGCAAAGGCAGGAGGTACTTGTGAGATGCCAACTTGACTTGTCTGGCTTTAGGTGGAGTGGGAGGTGTTGTCGCGCAATCTTTTAGGCAGCAAAATGTCTTGGGAGATCCCCTTGGAAGGTGCTTTTTGCCTGCTTGTGACATCTCTCTGGGCGTCGCAGCAGGAAGGATTGGGGTCACTGGGCCCAATCCCCAGGGCCATACTGCCTAGATGAGGACCCTCACCAAAGGCATGCTGCCAACACCAACATCCCCCCTCCCCACCGCTCCTCTGAAGGCAAAGCCTATGGGGGAAGAGAGATGAAGAATCCCATTACTGTACTGCAGAGTCGGAAGGGACCCCAAGGGTCACGTAGTCCAATGAAGGAATCCCAACTACATCATACATGACCGATGGCCATCCAAGCTCTGCTTAAAAATAGAGGCTGAGCACTTCTGCTCCACCGCCGCCTCATGCGATGCGTTTACAGTGGTACCTCGGGTTAAGTACTTAATTCGTTCTGGAGGTCTGTTCTTAACCTGAAACTGTTCTTAACCTGAAGCACCACTTTAGCTAATGGGGCCTCCCGCTGCCACCGCACGATTTCTGTTCTCATCCTGAAGCAAAGTTCTTAACCTGAAGCACTATTTCTGGGTTAGCGGAGTCTGTAACCTGAAGCGTATGTAACCTGAGGTTGGAAATACTAAACCCGCAGGGACATGCACTGGGAGAGGCGCGTTGCAGCAGGTCGGGGTTTGTTCGCGCCGAGCCTTGGAGGAAAAGGTCGGCTTTTAAGCCCTCGGCGGACCGCCTGCTTTGCTCTCAGCAGGGCGAAGGCTCTCAGCCCCGCTTCTCCCCCTGTCCCCAAATGACCCCGGCCCCTGGAAGAGCCCCATGGCAGCGCTCGGGGAGGAACTTCCCGCCGCTCCCCATCTGCCCGTCCCCTCAACCAACATGGCGGCGCTCGGAAACACTCCTCTCCGCAAGCGAGGAAAGGGGCGCACTTCCGCCAGGCAACAACATGGAGGTCACCTTTCCCCGCGCCGACGAGCGTTCTTCGGTGAAAAGACGCGCTTCTTCCCTGCCGAAAATTCCGGCCGACGAGGGTGGACGGAGGCGCCCGCATCAGCCAATGGAAGCGGAGGGCCGCGGAAGCCACGCCCACGGCTGAGAGGCCGGCGGCCGCGACGACTCCCCGCCCACACTCGTCCTCGGGAGGGAGGGAGGCGGGGGAAGCGCGGTCTTATATAACGGCGGATAAAAGGAATTATTACATGGGCGGCGGCGGCACGCACGCCTCGCCTCCTTTCGTTTTTCGGTCTGGAGGAAGAAGCAACCGTTGCCTCCGAAGGATTCCCGAATCCCGACCCTCTTCCTTAAGCGATTTAGGATGCAAGCCCGAAAACTTGGCAAAAATCCAGACTTGGAACATTAGTTTGTGCTTGGAGACTTGTGAGGTCCGGACGGCTGACAAACACAGCCTGGCCAGACCTCTCATCCTTGGTTCTGCTCCCATTTTCAGTGAAGCATAAATTTATTTATTGAATTTATCTCTCACGCTTCCTCCTGTTAGGGGAGAGAGGAAAGCACCGAATCTTGATAAGATTGTATCAAGATCAAAACTCTTTTGTTTTTTGTTTTACTATACAGTACTTGAAAATATGTCTATATCCTTAAAAGCAGAATTATGATAAAAATGTGAAGATCAATGAACTGTTGAGCACAGATCGATTTATTACATTGTAACTCACAATAGATTCCATTCTTACCTTTTCAAATTTTTTGCTGTTAAAAATGAAAACTGACAGCATCCCACACATTAAAAACTTTGAAACCTGCTTAATTTGAGCAGCTGAAACTACAGCCAGCGCAGTGGAGTGAATCATGCTAGGGAGAAATGGATCTAAATTCCCATTTTGCAATAAGATTACCTGGGGAAAATTGGACAACTCTCCCTCCAACCTACCTTACATGGCTGCTGTAAGGATGAGAAAAGGATGGCCACACACACTGCTACACACACTTTGGCACTTTGTGTTAGGCCATACTGAAAATTGCAAGCAGTGCCACCCCAAGGATTATATTTACACATTTTCTTTGCATAGCCCGTGTTTTCTCATCTCAGGATTGTGGGTCCTGGCTTTTTGCTGCTACCCCCCTTCTTCTACGGAAATGAAACCAAATGAAGTCACCTATACTCTTCCCACTTCAATAGCTCAATGGAATATCTGCATGGAGCAACAGGTGACCTGATCAAAAGCTAAGGCATACATAACAACTGAGAATATATGTTGTTTGAGTACACAGCCCTGGTTCTTCCTTATTAGTCCAACATACTGGATAACTGGAGTTTTATTTCAGGAACATGCAGCTCTTAAGTGCTGCTGTCTAGAAATACAGCAGAATGAGGTATGCAGATGAGAGGTAAAACTTTTGAATTTTCCCTTCTATATTTTTTTTAGCCCTCTTACATCAAGGAGTGAGCTTGGCTGGAACATTTCTCACTGATGTGCTCAATTTCTACTTGTAGCAAACACTCTCAGGGCCATGGGTTTGAGTCCCACATTGGGTGAAAGATTCCTACATTGCAGGGCATTGGACTAGATGACCCTTATGGTCCCTTCCAATGGTGCAATTCAAAAATAGCACCCCACCTCTACAATCTGAGTGGTGCAATCCACTTTATGACCTCAGGATTCCACCACCTCTTTCTACTGCTTGATGCAAAGAGGAATTTAAGATGGTGTGGATGTGTTCAGCAGGAAGATGTGTGCACATAAATCCAAGTGCCTTGATTAAAGGATGCTTTTTTGACAAAGAAATACAGAAGCTCCCCCCCTTTTTTTAACCCTTGAACAACTTTAAGAAATATAAAACAATTCAAAAAACATGCAACTATCCACTTTATTTTCCCTATGCTTGAAAAGTACCCAACAGACAAGAAGTAAGTCACAACCATTTAATAGATAATGTGCGTTTTAAGAAAGCAAAGCAGAACAGTAACTGAAGTAGGTTGTCATCCATCTGACACAAATTATTTCAATGTCAAAGCCAAAGCAGAGCTTGGCTTGAAGATGTGAATGTTTTTTATACAGTCAAATGTATAAAGGGGTGACTTCAGTTAGGTGTTTACCCAGATGCCTGCTGCACCTTAGATTCACTGTACTGTCTCATCCGTTCCTCCAGCTCTGGACGGAAGTGACGAATCAATCCCTGCAAGAAGGAAGTAGGAATTAGCAGAACACACACCTCTAGATATGCATACATCCCTTTGCCAATTACACATCCAGATTCTAGCATATACTGTCTCAAGCAAAACCACAAGATTCTTCAGCACATTCTTCACAAGCTAAAGAGAAGAAGGTTGAGAGAATTACCTGTACAGGCCAAGCAGCCCCATCTCCCAGGGCACAGATTGTATGGCCCTCAATTTGCTTGCTAATCTCCCAAAGCGCATCAATCTCTGCCACTTGTGCATTGCCTTTCACAAAACGCCACATCACTTTGTTCATCCAGTCAACACCTGTACGGAGGGAATCAGTTTCAAAAGACTCAGAGGCAACTCCCAATGTTTATGAAAAGATAGTCACAGAGAGGAGAAACAGACCATACATCAAGTCACAGCACAATGCTGGACCAAAAAAAAAGAGTAAATGAAGTTTGCATACTGAGCTACAGGCCTGTTGTCAATATCCTAGGAAAGTTGTTTTGCTCTCCAGAGATCTTTAAGCATCAGTTTTCCTCCCCACACTTTAATCAGGGCAAGAGGTCTGGATTTATAGATTAAATCCGTTCCTTGCCCTCCGTCCCAAATTCCTGTTCTGGGGAAGAACTCCAGAGTGACCTTCTGCTTCAACACTCACCTTCTCGGCATGGTGTGCATTGCCCACAGCTCTCATGTTTGTAGAATTCAATGAGTCGGGCGATGGCTCGAACTATATCTGTCTAAGGTAAGAGAAGAAGGTGAAGACTCATGAAGCAGGATTACAGAGCAGTAGGGGCCAAGGGACTAGCCTTACCGATTTGTCCATGACAATGACAGCTGCTGTCCCAAGCCCAGTCTGTGCCTGCACCAACCCATCAAAGTCCATTGGCACCGTCTCACACACTGACTTGGGGATGAGGGGGGTGGATGACCCTCCAGGAATTACAGCAAGCAGGTTATCCCAGCCACCTCTAACACCACCTGGTTAGAAGGCAAGAGACAATCAGGTGTGGCTCCATGGATGCCCACCTCAGCAACAGGAGATACAAGGCTTCCCCAATAATACAAGTTATTTGAAAGAAGCTGATAGCTTCTTCCTTATGGCAAATTAAGAACTGTTGGTTCTCACCTGCATGTCGTTCAATCAGATCACGTAGAGGTATTGACATCTCCTCTTCTACAGTACAGGGTGTGTTGACATGGCCTGAGATATTGAAGAGTTTGGTTCCAGAGTTGCGCTCACGTCCAAAGCCAGCAAACCAGGTACCTCCTCGACGGCAGATGGTGGGTGCCACAGCGACAGTTTCCACATTTGCCACTGTAGTAGGGCAACCAAACACTCCTAAAAACAGAATGGGGAAAACAGACTTAAAAAATCTTTTCAAACTAGCTACTGGGGAGAGAAAATGGGGAAGGAAAGTGATTGGTACTAGAGATTCAGATGAAAAGCCAGGTGGCAGGGGTGGCATTCATAAAATGTGGTGGGGGGATTATTATTTTGTTGTTTTTATTTTAACTATTTTTGTGTTTTTACCTTGTATTTTTATCTTGTGAACCGCCCTGAGATCTTGTGATGAAGGGTGGTAGATAAATCTAATATATAAATAATGATATATATCCAGTAAGATAAAGGTAACTTAGTTATTTCAGCTGGAGCAGGTGTTCTTAACATGGGGTCCAAAGACCTCAAGGGGGTTTCATAAACCAGGCACATAAGAACCACCCCCACTGCAATAAAATTAAATTTATGTTCATGTGGGAGGGGGGCATAGCTTTCATCAGATTCTCAAAGGAGCCTGTAAGCCAGAGAGGGTTAATAACCACTGAGCTAAAGCACATAGTTTATGTCACACTTGGAAATGTGATGTGCAAAGGAGAGACACAGCAAAGGCCCCCAAAGGAGCTGGGGTGGCAGATATATGTTGACAGAGATAAGAATCTGATAGCAAGGTTGGGCACCAAATCTACACCATCCACCACAGAAGGAGCATTTAAGTTGTCATACCCACGTCAGCTGGGAAGGGAGGCTTGAGGCGTGGCTTGCCCTGCTTGCCCTCAATGGATTCGATAAGTGCTGTCTCTTCGCCACAGATGTAGGCACCTGCTCCTCTTACCACAAAGACATCGAAGTCATAGCCAGAGCCACAAGCATCCTTGCCCACCAATCCGGCTTCATAGGCCTCCCTGATTGCCACCTAATGAAACAGCAAGAGTAAGCTAAGACCCACCCCTAAAAAGTTCCCGCCTTGGTTTTCAACACAAAAAATACAAGCAGGCACACAAGATGCTAAAGGCTCAGGGGGAAATCAACTCGTTCACTTCTCATAGCAGTTCTCGCAAGGGAAAACAAGAACCCTGCTCATAACTGCACAGTGGTAAGAGTAGCAGCTCACCTGCAAGTTTGAGGCCTCGTTATAGAATTCTCCGCGAATATAAATGTAGGCAGCTCGGGCTCCCATAGCTCTCCCTGCAACTAGGCAGCCCTCCACCAGTTTATGGGGGTCATGACGCATGATCTCTCTGTCCTTACAGGTTCCTGGCTCCCCCTCATCTGCATTCACCACCAAGTACTTGGGTCTGAAACACAGGGAGAATTTGCCTGTCGGCAAAAATTAAGAATCCCAGGAAAACACATTCATCATGAAGTATCTTTTCTATTGCAATCAATACACCAGCCAATGGTTGATATTCAACTAAGTCTTACTCAGAAGCAGGCCAATTGAAAGTCATGAACATGACTTGAGTTTAGGTCCATTAATTTCAATGAGTATACTCTGCGTAAGCCTTTGTTCAAGACAAAAAAATCTCTTTTGCTTCAAACAAAATACTACACAGACAGATAATTAATCAGACAAACTCTATATCCAGTTCCCAGTACTGACACAGACAGCGGGCATAAGTTTAAGGTCTTAACCTCAAGTAATTCACCTGAGGAAAACAGGGAATATTCAGATGCACTGAATATATTTTATTTATTGTGACATTTGTACCCTGCCCATCTATATATTTTATTTATTGTGACATTTGTACTCTGCCCGTCTTGAGGGGCTGGGAGCTGGGGGCACTGTTATACAGTGGTTCCGCTCCTTCCTCCTGGGCCGTGTTCAGAAAGTGGTGGTGGGGGGTGAGTGTTCAGACCCCTGGGCCCTCACTTGTGGGGTGCCTCAGGGTTCTGTCCTCTCCCCCATGCTTTTCAACATCTACATGCAGCCACTGGGAGAGATCATCAGGAGGTTTGGGCTGGGTGTTCATCAGTATGCGGATGATACCCAGCTCTACCTCTCTTTTAAATCAGAACCAGTGAAGGCGGTGAAGGTCCTGTGTGAGTGCCTGGAGGCGGTTGGAGGATGGATGGCGGCTAACAGATTGAGGTTGAATCCCGACAAGACAGAAGTACTGTTTTTGGGGGACAGGAGGCGGGCAGGTGTGGAGGATTCCCTGGTCCTGAATGGGGTAACTGTGCCCCTGAAGGACCAGGTGCACAGCCTGGGAGTCATTTTGGACTCACAGCTGTCCATGGAGGCACAGGTTAAATCTGTATCCAGGGCAGCTGTTTACCAGCTCCATCTGGTACATAGGCTGAGACCCTATCTGCCTGCGGACTGTCTCGCCAGAGTGGTACATGCTCTGGTTATCTCCCGCTTGGACTACTGCAATGCGCTCTACGTGGGGCTACCTTTGAAGGTGACCCGGAAACTACAACTAATCCAGAATGCGGCAGCTAGACTGGTGACTGGGTGCGGCTGCCGAGACCATATAACACCGGTCTTGAAAGACCTACATTGGCTCCCAGTAAGTTTCCGAGCACAATTCAAAGTGTTGGTGCTGACCTTTAAAGCCCTAAACGGCCTCGGCCCTGTATACCTGAAGGAGCGTCTCCACCCCCATCGTTCTGCCCGGACACTGAGGTCCAGCTCCGAGGGCCTTCTGGCGGTTTCCTCACTACGAGAGGTCAAGTTACAGGGAACCAGGCAGAGGGCCTTCTCGGTAGTGGCACCCGTCCTGTGGAACGCCCTCCCATCAGATGTCAAAGCGATAAACAACTACCTGACATTCAGAAGACATCTGAAGGCAGCCCTGTTCAGGGAAGTTTTTAATATGTGACATTTTAGTGTATTTTTTATCTTTGTTGGAAGCCGCCCAGAGTGGCTGGGGAAACCCAGCCAGATGGGCGGGGTACAAATAATAAATAATAATAATAATAATAATTATTATTATTATTATTATTATTATTATTATTATTATTATTATTATTATTATCAGAAACCAAGAAAAATGTTTTAGCCTCACAACCACCCAGTGAGGAAGGTTAAGAAGGCAAATAGTTACTTTCTGAACAGGACCAGCTAGTGAAGTGATGCTTAAAGCTGAAATTCCTATGTCCGTGTGCAGAATTCCACCCAGTGTGCTAAACTGGCTCTGTACAAAATACAGTAGCTGTTCTTTAGTGGTCAAGAATTGGAAGTCCAGAATTGATCTTTGGCATCTACTGCTTTGCAGAGCCAGGCTCTCTAGATAAAGTAACTTTTGAAATCAAAGGCTCAGATGACTCTAAAGTAGTGTGGGCATTCCCAGCAACTAAGGCACACTATTTGGAAGGTGTGAGACAGAACTGGAAGCTAGGAGTCCCAAGTTCTGATTCCCAACACCAGCATGGATAATAACCCTTGAAAGCACAAAGCTGTTTTTGAGATAACCGTGGAAACAATTGCCACTGTTGCAGAGCAAGTTCCTCCATCAGCAGAAATGAATGGTACTGAGTATGAAATCAGCCTTTAGTTTGTAACACACCTGCCATCTGGGGGTTTATTCATGAAGCTCCACTTAAGACCAGTGGGGAAACCAGCCCCCCCACGGCCTCTCAGACCTGAAGTCTTTATTTCATTCAAGATCCAATCAACACCCTTCAGCAGGATTTCCTTGGTTTTATACCAGTCACCTCGGCTCAAAGCCCCTTTCAACCTAGAAAAGACAAAAGCACTGGGTAACAACAGCTATCCAAAATAATTCCATTTTGCATACACATTAACATTGGAGGACTATATCATCAGCCTTCACCCTGTATACAGAACACATAAGTAGAGAAACCTGGAATTATAATATTAATTTGTACACTACTTCAGCAAAGCATATCCTCTAGGCAGCTCTGTGGCAGCTCTGTTGGAAAATCCTTTTGGCATCCAATCAAAAGTTAATTTACCAGTTAAAAGCAACAACAACTTGCAAACTTTCCAACTTAATCACCACCCCTTTGTGCTGGCTTTCCTCCGCTATGTTAAAAACTGACAGCCCCACCTTAATCCTCTTTCATCATTATGCAACACACACCACCCAATTTCTCAATTCTCACCTCCACTCATGGCGCCCATAAAGATTCGTGAAGATGCGATCCTCATCCTTGAGGGGCCCAAACTGTGTTTTTTTGGGAGGTGCCTGTGCAAGAAAGAGAGAAATGACCGAATCCTGATAAATTTACCATCTCGGAGCCCATACTAGACCTTAGGGGGGGGGAGGGAGGAGAGACTAGCAGAAAAAAAGGAGAAACCGAAGCCCCGCTCCGAATCGAGGCACGGCAACTCTCAGCCCTTACAGCGAACAAGAAGCGGCAGCTGACCTGTCAAGACCTGTTCTTCAGGGCTCCTCCCCGCCCCTTCACCTGCAGAGTCTGCGCTTCTCTTTCTCCCCCGCAGCCCATCGGGGGGAAGGGGAAAGAACTTACCGACTCCGGAGCTGCAGCGGCGGAAAGGAGACGTGCCTGAGCGCAGGCTCCGCGGAGCACCAGAGGCCGAGCCGCCAACATAGCGCCGACGGGAAGCCGGGGTCCCCCACTTAGCGACACTAGCCGACCCCGTCACCTTCGTCTGTTTTGCGCGGAGATTCTACGTCACGGCCTCGGGCGGCGCGTGGTGACGTCAGCCGCCCCGAGACGAGGGAGAGCGAAGAACTAGGTCTCGGCCTACGTCAGAGTGCAGGGGATGATGGGAGTGGTAGTTCATCAGCGCCCCGCGCCTCGATTATAGGAACTTCTCAGTGACAGCCAAGAGACCCGATACCATGGAGGTTGCATAAAATAAAATAAAAAGAACCAGGCCGCGTTCAAGGTGCGACGGGCGCCGAATAAGCGACAACAGGGGCGCTCGAGAAGATGCTGTTTCCTTTGGCGTCGTTCGAGGCGACTCAGTCAACCTTTTTAGCAGAAATGTGAAACTAAAAAAAATGCTTCAAAAATAAATGAGTAAAGGTATACAAAGATTCTGCCATAAGGGAAATTGCCAGCACTACATTTCTTTCTAAATTTAGTTCTGGTTTAGTATTATATCGCACTTCCTGCATCTTTTGAAAAAGCCTGTTTACTAAGAAAAGTAGAATCACGATTTACAATGTTACAGCGGTTTTATTAAACTTGTTAGCAATCCTGTAGCATCCAGTACTAAACGAGAAACGTCTCTAACCACTGGCTGCTATGTCCCCTCTGTGGAAGTCGCGCATTGGCCTCCAGAGTCACTTGCAGACTCACTGTTAAGACCGTGTTCATGGAAGACAATCTTCTAAGGTGCTACTGGACAAAAAAAATTATTTAATACTCGGCTACGGTGATTGCAGAAGAAGCAGCAGCTACTTCTCTCATCTTTCTAGTGACGAATTCTGCCTCTCCAAGAGCTCCCCATAGTGTAATTTCTGGAATTTCAGGGATAGACTGAATATCTCTCTCTTCATTCCATCTGTGAAAGGTGCTTTACACATTACATTTTAAAACATATTGGTTAAATGTTTTCAGCACAGTGGTAAAAATAAATTTCTAAACATGACAAGCACAGGTATGGTTTCTAGGGAGCTGGGATTGGACACACTTAGTTGATACGTGGAAGAAAACCACACAATGTGTATGAAGCAGCTCTGGCTATGAGCAACCACCGTTGCTATGCATGTAAGCAACCATGGGGGAGGACATTGTCTTGTAAGGTGGCCTAGAAAACTCTTGAATAAATAAATAAAACCAGACACCTCAAGAAGATTCACAAGCAACTGCATGCTAGAAGGTAAAAAAAACTACAGAAAGACTGCAGATGATTTTCAGATTATTTAGAATGATTTTCATATATAGTGATGGAAGAGCATGGCTATTGCCTTCAACATATTCAAGTCTATGGAGCAGTATTCTGGAGTGAACATCTTTTGGCAACTCTTTGCCTTTACATAATCAATGTTGTTCCAGGGAAGGGGGAAGAGACTGCATTGGGGATATTATTTTCTGTATGTTTCTTTTTCTTTTGGACTTTTCCATGTTTTTTTGAAAATCAATATATATATATATTGAATATCTATCTATCTATCTATCTATCTATCTATCTATCTATAATAAAATAAAATAAAAGGGGGGAGAAGGAAGTTCACAAGCAGGACACAAAAAGAGATAGGTAAATGAATAAATATAGCCACCTCTTGATTTTTGCCATCAGTATCTGGTAATCAAAGGGGGACACCCTTTAAAACCTATGATAATAGCCTCCTCAACAAATTTAGTCTGCAATTTTTTTAGGCATCAAAACTCACTAGAGCAATAAATCTGTTAAGAGCACTTTATATATCATTTGAAGAAGTATTTGCAGATGTATTCCCAATGCAAATTTCATTGGATATCCCAAAGTTCATGTTTTGAGTGTTACAAATATTTTTTCTCAGTGCTGTTCGTAGTTTTGTATATATATTTATTTCTTAAAATGTATACACCACTTGATTGTAAAAATAAAACCTCAAAGTGATTTACAAAGAGAAAAAATAGTAAAATTACTGGTAAAACAGTTAAAAATAACTACTTGAAACATTAAAAAAAATGAAATCAGCAATAAACTAAAATCACACTAACATTCTACATATCTGTGTGAATTTGTTATATTCCCTCTCCCATCTCTAAGTTAGAAACTTTATAAAAAATCCTTCCAGTAGCACCTTAGAGACCAACTAAGTTTGTTATTGGTATGAGTTTTTGTGTGCATGCACACTTCTTCAGATACTTTAGAAATTTTAGATTGTTTTTTACTTCATGGGAAAAATGTTCCACCAGCATCATTTTATTCACTCTTTTCTGTATCTTCTCATTCTTCAGTAATTTCTACTCTCATAGGATGCACACAGAGCACGATTGCATGTACCAAATTTGGGGTACAACAAGCCAGTAATACAGTACCGCAAAAAGCTTCTTAGTGACAAGGGAGTATCACAGAGCAACCTGGTTGCCTCCAGATGTTTTGAGACTACAGCAGGCTGGCTGGGGCTGATAGGACACCAAATGGACAAAGGCTAACAGGGAGAGAAGGAAGGGCTCCCAAGCCTTCTATTTCCTTCTATTCCCAAATGTCCTGGCTTTTGCCAGTTTACCTCATTTTCAAACAGCTGTTGCAGTTGTGCTGCCAGGAGGAGGATTACAGAGCTGATCTCTCTGATCCTGTTGATTCTTGGTCTGAGAAGAATGATCTCATTACACTGGAATGGGCTGCAGGGGGTCCTCTTGGTTAGCACAGCAGCAGGGAAAAGCTGCAAGATGCATTCCCAGCACTCATTTTAAAAAAGCAATGTAGACGTGCTCAATTAGGCAGTGTAAAGTGGTCATCTCAAGCAGCAGTTGTTAGGGGGAGACAACTGCAGCCCCCCCAGTTGATTCTCCAGAGTCCCCAGCCACTCTCACCCTCTTTAGTCTCATCCTCCCCCCAGCCGTAACATTTGTTTATTACTGGGCAGGTAATCTGCTTGCCCTCTTATGTTTTAGACATGCTGTTGGCAAAGGCACCTTACCAAGACTACAGGCAGAGGGAGGCAGTTCACAACACCCTCCAGCAGACACTACATGTGCCCCTGCATTGCTCTGTTCACACAAGGCATTGGTGCTACCGTTGCTGCACTGCAGTTATTCACTTGAGGATACAGTGGGCACAGCAGTTGCCAGGAGGCCCTGCAAGAGAACAGTGAACAAGGGGTTGGAGGACTGAGCTGTGTGTATCATGGGGCCTGTCTTCACAAGTCAGCCTGTGGACTTCAGGTGGATAAAGTTGTTCCATTGCCAGTAACGAATTGAGATTCAACTGCCAAGTGAATATGTGGAAGGGTGCGGGGGGAGGGGACACCATCTTGCCTTTCACCTCCAGCAGCAAAATGCATTGGGAAGAACAAGAGCATGTGACTCTGGATGACAGGTGTCATAGTAGCCTCTATGCAGCTTCAGAAGTTGAAAGTTTCTGAGTTACAAATCTCTACCTGGATGTCTCTATAGAAGGTTGAGAAACACACACAGCCATTGGGTGGATAACCATTTCAGAAGATTGGGAGAAAGCCTTCACATACCATGAGAGCAATCATGACCCTGTGACTATAATCCTGTACCTAACTCCACCTCTATCGTTTCTGGAAAGAGAAAGTATTCTATGATCCAGAGATAAGAGTAGAAGAGGACCCTGAGCACTGGCAGACTTCTGGACCCTGAGCACTGGCAGACTTCTGGATCAAAGCAACCATCTTAACCCTCAATACCGGTAAGTTAATGAGCTCATTTATCTTGCTTCAAGCCTCCTGGCTCAGCTTAGAGCAAATGGCAGCCTAGATGAGAAGATTACCCTAAGCACCCACCCCCTCCCTAAGCACAAGCCAGGGGGAAGTTTCCAGCAAAAGAGCACCATTTTGTATAACAGAATCTAATTTAATGCCATTTGATTTATTCTTAAACTTCAGTGTACAAAATCATTACAATTCTCATTATAACTTATGCCATAGGCTAGGAAAGTGATGTGCTTAAGGCACTCCAGGGAGCTTCGTAATGGAACAAGGATTTGAATCACATTGGCCCAATGGGATCTTCCACCAATATGATTCAGAGAACATCTAACCTGGTTGAGCAGTGAGCCATTTTACCAACTTGTTGTCACAAAACGCAGCGCAGGCTAAAATGTCTCAGCCACAGGCATGGCAATATACGCACACACCTACAACTGAGGATCACATCCTATGCATCTGTTGAAGTGAGATCCAGTTCACTAAAGCTTATGAGCCACTAAACTTTTTGCTGTAGAAGACTATTATGGCTACCTGTTTGGAAATTACCAAGATCAAAAGGTGGGAAGTGGAGAGCTAGTGTGCATCGAAATGAGGTGGCAAATAATATATTATTATAACTTTTAAAGGGGTGAACAGAGCTATGGGATGCTGATTCTGATCGGGGGAAAGCATGGGGGGGGGGGAATAAGCACACACAGCCTCCTTGATCTAAATGAAGGAGCTCTTGCATTTACTTCTTTTTAAAGTGGGAGATTTGATCATAAATCTCCCGCCACCTTGTGTATGTTCACCCTTAGTTGTCCTGTGCTGCACTTCTGAAGCCACAAAAGCTACAAATCCTAGCTTATGGCTTCACTATATATGCTACCCTGGGTTCGTTCGGGAGGGGAAATGGGATATAAATTTAACAAATAACAATAGTAACTACAACAATTATAATAAGCCACTTGGCTCTAGCAAATTAATCACATCTCCTCTTGATTGCAGTGGGCTTCTGCTGAATTTAGTTACCATACTTTCCCTACCAAGCAAAGATGTGCAGAACTCTTTATTGAAACTCGCTTCATTAACATTAGTGTATACAAAACTACAAAGCACCCAGAGGTCACCAGAAAAGCTGCAACTTGGTGAAAGGAATCCATTTCATTGCTTGCCGTTCCCATTGATGGGGCGCTGCTTGTGGGCATCAGACTCCAAGAAAGCTTTGAGGAGCGGTCGGGCGTTGAGCCGCTGCACATAGCTAGCCAGCAAGGGGAAGGAAGCCAGGCAGTCAGGGGCCAGGACCAAATGCACATTTAATAGATCAAGCAGATTGTAGTCAGCAAAGGAGATCTGGAGGAAGAAA